ATCTGTCAGGTCAAAGGAAGATCAGAGCGGAGTTTAGCCAGAGGTTTCTGGGAGTTTTATACTGTCACAGTAGATTTGAAAATAAAAAGATTTGATTAGATCTGTAAGATTCTTCATTTCTTTACCCAGATACAAAGAGTTTTTTGTAAGACCCATAAAATTAAATTTCCTTTGATTTTCATCCATGTGACTGAGCGAACGTGGGGCTACAAAGACAGGACGCTCACCAGAGACCTCCATTGCAAAAGTGTCGCTGCTGATGCCAACCAGGTTGAAGGCCACACATTCCACCGTCATCCTTTGATTAGACATCCCTACAGTTAGGACGCTTTCCACCTCCACTGCCCCGTACTCCTCCCGCTGGACCTCCACCGTTGGAGCCTGAAGAGGTGTTGGCATCTGCATCCCTGAGATGTTTTCGTTGCACCTGCCCCATTGCAAGATATCTCTGGTTAGAAAGAAAAAAGCAGAACCCTCTCTGAGTTTCCCCACTCTGCAGAGTAACTTACGTAGGTCGTATCCCCAGACATTGATACCAGATGATTCTTGGAGCAGGATAACCAAAAGAAGTGCAGGTCAGTGTTGTCACATTTTCCCATCTCACCACAGCGACAGGTCTCTCTACCAATGACAGAGAAAATTTAAAATTTCCCCAAAATGCTGAAATACTTCATGTAGGATCTAAAGAAAATGTTTTATGACTACTTACGGTACATTTGGACTTGGAACGTGATTGAAGCATTGGTCAAGTAACTCTTGGCATAAAAAGTGTACTGGCCCTGCTCCTGTGCATTCATTCTTCTCAGCTGCAGACTGGCATGGTATCTGTACCAAAAACAAACAAACAAACAAAATTACACCAAAGAAAAGAGGAATGTCTTCACTGTAGACACACACAGGATCTGCAGTGACTAATTCTGTGGTTTGAATTCAGACGTTTCCTGTGTATGATTTTGGAGCATGTCAGAAGTCTTCCCTTCAGCAACAGTTTCATGACCTGAGGGAAACAGTGACCTCCGTGTTCTCTGTCAAATTCAACCAAAATGCATTCTCAGCACTTTTCATAAGCAGCTTCTTCTTCCCGTACTACACTCGATTCCTTTTTCGAAACCCATGCAAAAAAAAAGCCAGCTATTACATAACGACTCTTTTGTTTGTGAAAGCAGACGATCGTACCTGTTGTTGAACTGGATGAACCTGTGCTCCTGCGTCGACGTGGTCGTAGAGGCTGGGGTGTGCCATTTGTGCTCTATGATGTTAGGATAGGCTTCGATAACCACACTGAGCTCCAGATCTTCGCCTTCATTCACCTCTACCAGAAGACCCTGTTGGGCCAGTTTGGGGGAGAGCTGGGGCAAAAGCCTGATGTAGGGTTTATCTGTCCAAAAGAAACAATGGACATAACGTGTGCTGAGTTCACGTTAACGAAAGAAGGGTTTACGTAAAGTATACATTGGTTCCCCAGGGTTTCAAGCTGAGTTCACGTTAGCGAAAGAAGGGTTTACGTATACATTGGTTCCCCAGGGTTTCAAGTCACAGTCTGGGAGAAAGTAACGTTAGACTTCAGTCTAGAGGTGCTACAGGTCAGTCACCGTCTTAGTCACAAAACTTTCAGGTCCAAAGGTAGGACCCCCAAAAATAGGCTGAAACTGAGTTCTGATAATTTTCAATAGGAGTCAGACGATCACAGAACCAAACCTGATGTAATTATTGTCTGTCCACTGTGTAAAGTCCAAGTCACCCAAGTCTAGGTAAGTGTTTGTGTGACCAAATAAGTTGGTCACAAATATATTTGGTCCCAGTAGAAACATTCAGGTCTGCTGGCCTGTCCCTGGTGTTTTAGATAAAAGATGCCTTCGAAGTCGAAGCTCTGATATCTTCAGTGTCTTACCTACAACAAGGAGGTACGTGGTGGAACTGTTCACGCCTGCTTCATTAGTACCGATACAGGAAATATTTCCTGTGTCTGCGAGGTCCACAGCAGAAATTGTAAAAATGCTTTGTATGTCCAGACGGTTTTCTCCACTGGAACGAACCCTCTCCTCTATGGTTGGTCTCTAAAGGCAAAGGAGAAAAAAAGGTCAATTTCTGCCTATTTGAAAAAAGGTCCCAATTTGCTAAACACTGACCGATTTGGTGGTGTATTGCCACGTGACGTTGTAGTTGAAGTTGGGGTTGTGTGTGGTGCAGCGGATCTCGAGTTCTTCCCCAACAATACGCACATATTCTTCGGTCTCCAGAAAAACATAAGGAGGGAAGCGTAGTCCTGCAACCATAGATTGAGTCACACTTTAATTTCCCTTCCTTACAGGCTGTACCTCATCATTTTCAAATATTAGGGAAGTCTTACTCTGAATAACATTGATGGAGAAGGCCTTGGAGGTCCTTTCTACCCCATTCACCCTGGCTGTGCAGACGTAGTCGGCGTTGAAGCTCGGGTGGAGGTTGTGGATAAGAATGCCACGGTGACGGTCGACTGTATAGTTCATCCCCGATGGTACGTTGGTACCATTGTCCATGCGGAGGCCAAGGTCTGTGGCTGCTGGGTTGGTGAGCAGACAGGGTAGAAGGTAGTTCTCCCCCTCTTTCTTGACCACCCGCAGAGACGTGCTGCTGGTCCAGAACAAACGGCTCGGGTCTGAAGGGAGAGATTAAAAGACTGATGTCTAGATCTCGCAGTTGTGTAGTTTTAACAATGAAGCAGATGAAATCTTGCCTACCTTGTACGTAGACATGCACTGAGGTGGCCAGGTGACGGTATTGAGGCCTGGTGCTGTAAAAACACTTGTACGTTCCAGTGAATTCTGCAGAGGGTCGCTCCACCCTCAAGGTGCGGGCGTTCCCGTTACCCTTAGACACAAAGCGCCTGTGCTTCGACAGCCTTGTTTGCCAGTTGACAAATCCGTCACCTTCGCACCTCAGATCCAAAGGTTTCCCAGGTGTGACCACCACCTCTGAATTCGTCACCACCTTAGAATTGAACTTGATCACCGGTTGCCTCCATTCTGCTGCTGTGGAAACATATAAAAATAATGACTACATTTGTTGACTTTGTTGACACCAGGTGGACAGAAGGGACAGTGCGATGTTGAGTTGAAGAGAAGAAATTAGGTTCAAGAACATCTACTGAGTAGAGATGGTTGGTTTATTGAAGATGTAGTTGTGAAGTCGGAGAGAAAGAGGAGAAAACTAGAGAAGAACCATGGACCTGCTGAAGAAGAATTTGTGAGATTAAAGCTAATTTTCTGTTCTGGTGAAATCAGAAAGAAGAAGTGAGATGTTTTTTCAATCAGGGTTTTGACCCGATACTTCTACTTCTTATATTTTTTTTATTTGTCCCTTAAATGTCACAGACTGAAGACAAAATGACTTCCTTTGAACCCTCTCACTTCTGCTTTTCACCGCGTTGCTATCCCTACACTGGAAAAAATCTGTCAGGCTTTTTTTATGTTTTTTTTTTTGCTGTATCTCGTCATGTCACTGACTAAAATCCAATTAAATTCTCCTGCTCTTCTGGCAACAAGAAATAATGCGTCCAGTGTGAAGGATAGAAAGCTGACACTCAGTGGACATTTCATTTTGCGTTAGTTTCCGTTTGTAATGAAACTGAAGGTTACAATAGGAACAAAAATATGTTTTATTTTAAAGAACTGAGATTTTGTGCTCAGCATTTGTTTTCTGTAATTCATTGCTGTCTATTAAAAAAACGTAGAGACCAAAAAACAAAAGCAGTTTAAACCAATCAGCTCGAGGGTAAACAACGCAGATTGTTCGTCACTCCTCTAAATGCTAACTGTTCATCCGACCAACCAGATTATGTTGTTACACCTCACAAACTAAAAACTAAAATGCCTTCAACAGCAGCTGATTCCTTTAGTCATAAAAAAACTAAACAAACAAATGACTGTTTGATGCCGGTGAGTGATGCCCATAGATGTAAAGTTTCACAACAAGAAATCTCAGAAAAAAAAAAAAACAACTCATGATGCTGCACTTGTTCTGCTCATTAGGCACCAAAGCGTGTCAGATTTTGAGGGAGAAGCATGGTGTTTCTCATCTCGTCTGCTCCGACCACGAGTTTATGCCATGAAATGCACTTTATGATAAAATCATGACACAGGAACATTTGTAAAGATTCATTTGAAAATGTATCATTTGATGAAGATTTGCTCTAAAGTTTTAACTCTCCAAAAAAGAAGTTGAAAAAAATGTTTTTTGAATTTTTGTAGTCAGTCTTTTTCCTTGATAATTAAAAACAAAACAACTTCAGCTCTTAGTGTACAGTAACGTTGCCTCACCTGCAGCAGCGAAGGCCACAGACCCGAGCACCACAGCGAGGTAGAACAGCATCCTGGATCAGCTCCAGACCTGCGGTTGAGGGTTGGTGTTTATGTCTGATAGAAAAACAATCTGTTGTTTTAAGAGAGAGAAATGAGAATAGCACCACAGAAGAAGTCGTCCGCCGTCCTCTATATTAACTTCTCTTTTTTTTCCTGGTCACAGCAGCTCTGTATGTAAGGGTTTGACCACAGGCGTTTCTTCAAATCATTTTACATTTTGATTCATTTCTTCAATCAGAAGAAATGAATCAATATCATTTAACTTTACATGTGGATATTTCACGACCCGCCACAGCAGGTATTCCACATCTGTATTTGACTCAGTTTTACTCCTCCCTGAAGCAGCGCTCCCTGTTGTGTCAGGGTCAGAATCGGGCACAGAGCCAGATTTAAACCCCACTCCAACGGGTGGAAGATGAACCGATGCCAAGAGCTACACCGACCCCACGGTTAAGATCATGCAGCACAATAGTGTTTGTCCAATAAATCAATTCCCTTGTTCCCAGTTCAATCTGAACACCCTAACCATAAGTTATGGAATACATTTATTTATTTATTCCAGATGAACTCACCTGCAGGCGCCACAGGCTTCACACAGGAGTTCAGTATCTTCCCTGCTCTGGTGGTTCAGGCTCCAGAGCGGACGCACAAAAATCCCTTCTTCCCCTTTGTCTTTGCCTCTGCTCTTCTGCTTGTTTACAGTGTCATCACCACAGGAGTCACACTGCAAACGTGATATATTTTAGAAAGCAAGGAGCGGAGGGTGGAGGCAGCGGCCTGTGAGATCAGGGGAGGGGGCGGGGGGCGGGGGGGCGAGAGGCGGATCAACATATCATGCTCAACTAATTAATGAGCTAGTGCCAATTTGCCACAGAAAGGCACAATTCAGCCGAGAGACTCGTGGAGATGAGACTAATCACCTCCATTACAGCGGAACGGTGCCTGCCAGGCTTTTCCTGGCTTTAAATCAGAATCAGAAAAATGTAAGGAATCAGCAGCGATTCTAGCTGTGAGTTTGAGTGAATGTGGGGCAGCGGTTAATAAGGCCCAGGTTATTGAGGCCTTCCCATCATTTCATGATTTTATTATTGTTTGTTTGAGCAGTTAAAGAGTGAAATGAAGAGACGAGATCAGACGAGACAAATGAACCTGCTGACCCCTCAACTCTGGATAATATACATTTATTTCACATGTACAACATAGAAAAATACATTTGTAAACGTTAAGAAGATCTTTGGTACCATAGCTTGTGACACTGTGATTGTTGTGCATTCTAAACGGTGTTACAAAAGGCTACAGGACAAAACAACAGTGGAGTGTGTGATTAAAGTAGACTTTGTGTGAGTGACGGTTAAAATGCAACAGAAGAAGAAAAAAAAAGCATCTCTCTCATTTTTCTTTTTTTTTTACAAACAGACATATTGTTACTTCAACTCATTCACTACAGTACAAGTTTCTCAGTCTTCACAAAAAGGCATTCATCTGTGCCGTCTTGTGCTAAGGCAGTGATGTGCTGTATTTATCATTCTCACTTCAAAAAAGCCGAGTCGAGGGCTAAAAACCCTCTTTGTGCTGTAAATTCTCCCTCCTTTGTAATAAAGAACCACATTTTCTCTGGGTAAAGTGCAAATGTGGCACAAACAATCTGAATCGAGGCGACACAGAACAAGCATCAGAAGCATCAGAGTCGAGAAGAGAGAGATCTAAAATTCACCGATGAAATATACACTTCATGTAATCCCAAAAAAGTCAAAAACAAAACAAAAAACAGAGAAAAATCTGGCTCTTTCGCATGTCGTACTAAAACAAAAGGTTAATCTTCTACGTAAAAAATAGTGCATGTGCATATTTCATGTGCTACGATTAAAATGTCGTATGTAGTAATAAGACATAATCTGACGTTTCTTGACTTAATCGTGGTTGTGTAGTGTTTCCCAACTGTACTTTATCATCTCCCTTTGTTAATCTGCTTAATCTGAAATGTACACTGAAGAAAATAAAATCAAGTGAGAAAATAATGCGACTAAAATGTTTTTACATGACGCAGCACGTGTCTCTCAAGGCCTCACAGGTTTCTAGTAACTGGATGAAATACACGTGTACTGATTGTACGTCAGTATCAGAAGAGTACCAGATTTATACTACTGTAGATTGACGCTCATTATTGGTAAGCATTCGTAGTCCCAGAGGTATTAAGTGTATCATAAAAAAACGAGAGTGGATTAACTGAGTTCTCCGAGGAACCCCAGAGATACAAGGAAATCTATCATTTGCTACATTCTACTTGAGTCACGTTCCCTTCTTCAGCCAGGTTTTTTTTTCTCTTCCTCTTTTTTTTTTCAATTCCACCTAAAGCTCCATTTTCTCTGGGCTCCAACACGTGGCTACAGGAAGCTGTCCTCTACGTCCGGCGTTCCTGACGAACCCAGCAGAGCGTCCCTCTCGCTGGTGTCCTCCTCCTCCTCTGGAAGAGTGTCCGCCGTGTCCTGGGACATGGCCTCGCTCTCCTCCTCCACCTCCTCCTCCTCCAGAGCCACAGAGCTGAGAGTCATAAAAAAGAGGAAACAAATTTAATCCAGGTTTTCAGTCACTGCTCGGTCCAACTGTGTTGTTTTCCAACTGTGTTCTAAGGAAGTGGTTTGTGATTGGATTACACTTTAATGTCTTAGGGATTCTGTCTGAAGGCCCTTTTCATAAACTGCACTTATGAGACACAAGCTGCGACTGATGCATGAAACGTGTCTCAACCACATTTCAAATTTGTTGTGTTGACCAAAGAATTTAACAGAATGACAGTGAAAATGCTCAGACATGTTAAAAGAACTTTAATGAACTGTTTCAGTTCTAATGACAACCTTTTTTTTTACTCATCTTCTACCGCATAATCCTTTTCACGGTCACGATGGGAACCGGACCTGGTCCGGACAGTTCAGCGGTCTGGACAGTTCAACGGTCCGTCTCAAATAGAGATTCCGATGATTTACACTTCATATACTTTAGCCCTGACTATCAGTGACCACCTCATCCAGCAGAAACGGTCCGGACAGTTCAACGGTCCGTCTCAAATAGAGATTCCGATGATTTACACTTCATATACTTTAGCCCTGACTATCAGTGACCACCTCGTCCCATGAACCTGTGATTTTCTTTACCCGCCGTCTACCGTGTGACCCTGGGGTTAACGCATTACTTGATAATTACAGAACCTACGTTGTCTTAGAGGAGTTTTTGCAGCCACTAGTGGTGAAAATTGCATCATCACCCTGTCACCAAGTGTGGTGTAGACCATACGCTAGCCAATGGGCATCATCTAAACACAAGACTTATTTATTTAGCTTTTCTGTTTTTGACCAAGGTAGGAAACATGCGGATCCAAGATGGCCGTCCCTCTAAAGCAACCCTTAGTCTTTAGCTGAGCTGTTACTCATAAAGCTTCGGTTCATTTGTTCTTATTACATCAGTAGACATCCTACCAAAATCCCATTCTCTTTATGTTTAAAATACATTATTATTTCTGTCTGGATTTGAGACCAAAGAACCAAACACTAACTTTTAAGATTGAATCTGTTGTTGAAATATTTGAAGAGATTTTCAGGGATCTGTCATAACTTACGCAGGAATCAAAGCTGTTTTCACCCCTAAGACAGTTAACAGTTGTTTGATCTTCACTAGCAGAAACCAAAATCCAAGTTAATGCAGAATAATATTATTCTATCTGTGTCTGTTAGTGAATTTCGGACCACCAAACATTTGTTTGAGCTTTGAAAACCTCTTACTCTTGGCTGGGTGTTTATATCTGTGAAATAAAAATAAATGACTTTCACAGTGCAGCGATTGTCTCAGCTCCTCATCTGGATGAGTGGGTGTGTGGTGAGGGGAAAAAAGTCACATTTATCTTTAACTTTTCACCCCCTCGGGGTCTTCAGTGCAGTTATTTACCTGGTGGGGCTCTCCGACGGTATGTCAGTGAAGACGTCCTCTGGTTTAGGATCAGGGATGGGAATGATGTATTCGTTGTACGAAGTTATGACCTCCTGTGTGTCGTCCTGAGGTCGGAAGTTTCCGGAGCTCAGGGTCTGGTTGTGTGGGGTCGGAGGGAAGGACAGGGCGGCAAGAGAGGGAGCACTGGATGAGGAAGTGTTGATCGGAAAAGGTGATGAGAGTCGGGGTTTGGTACGGGTGACGGCAGGATGGTCGCTCTTCAGGAAGTTCTCATGGACTTGGTGATATCTCTGTAAGAAAATTAGAGACGACTGTGAGGAGATTTCACTCACATTTACCGATCTCGCAAAATATGCGTCAGTACACTTCAGTAAGCAAGTGAGTTAGCGGGAAAATCTGTTTGTGTGTGAGGTAAAAACAGACCTGACTAGCAACAGAAAAACATTTATTTTTGGCCCAAATGTGGCTGAGATAATTGGAATCTTTGTTCCATCTTTAAACCAGGAGTCACCACTTGTGCTTATTTTGGAATCCAGTCGTGGGCCGGATTGGATAGGTCAGTGAGCCGGAATCGACTTGCGAGCCCCCAGCTGAAGATCACTGCTTTGAACTGTCATCTTTATAAAATCTCACAAGTGCATTTAATGCTCTGAGTTGCCTGTGGACGGTTTGACGAATCGTGTCATCTGTGATCCGTCGTCAGGCACATGTTCAGCGTGTGATCCCCACTCCTTCAGTTGTCAGACAACAAACATTTGCTGAAACAACTCTGTGCTCCAGACTTTTCCAAAACTGTAAAGAGTGTGAAAGTTGTGTAGTGTGTCCAATGTTTACGACACACCAACAGACAAGTATTTTTGTAAGACGACTGGGAAAAAGTCAACTGAATACCAACTTCAGATTCAGCTAAAAGAAATTTTTAAAAAAAGTGACTTTGTGAATGAGCTTTGATGGCTTCTGTTCCCCTTACACACAAAACTCATCAACTGTCTCCAATCAGATTAGGGTTAGGGTTTTAAATAATTTACTTTTTCTGTTAAATTAGTTTTACTTGCCAAACTGCTACTATTTGTGCTGCTTTCTTGTCAAGGACTCACATGGAAAGTAGATCTTAACATAATCAGATTATTAACACATTAGAGCAATGCTTTGGCACAAGCCTCCTGTACAAGTGTTGGTTGACTGTAGATCAGTACAATCTTTCACTTCCTCCTGTAAAGTGGTTCAAACCCGGGCTCCTGTCTGTTTAGTCCTTTAATAAAACCCACAGATGAGAAAAATATAATAAAGGAATTGTGTCGACTCTTGGAATCTAACAGAGCAAAAATGTTCATAAAATCAAAATTTGATTTTGGAAAATCACTAGTAAAAGAGAAACAGGTTCGGACACTGGATTGTCTGACTTTTCTGGATTATATTTTTATGTTTCCAGCTCTCAATAGTTCAACATCCTATCTCGTCCTCCTGTCGTCAGGCTCACTGCTCACACCTGTCTCTCCTCAGCCACTGCCTCAGGTTAATCAGCCTCATTGTTCTCACCTGTTCTCCTGTGTATATAAACCTCCCTCAGTTGACCACTGCTGTTTGGTTGTGCTGATGTGTTTTGCTGTGTTCTTTGGTGCTGTCTGATTGTTTTTGTTGTTGGTTTTTTTGTTTTAGTTATTATTGAGTCAACTGAAGTGTTTTGGTGTTGTATTTGTGACCTTATTATGTGAGTTTCTGGGTGACTTTCAGATTATTTGTGATCTTTTAACAAAAGTGACCACTGAGAAGAGGAGGTGTGAAAGTGTAGTGGTGCTCCTGTGTCGTAGTGCAGTGTCTCCCTGTTTAGTTGAAGACAACGCTGATATACTGGCAGGAATTGAAGAAAGAGACAAAGGTCTTAAACAGCTGATTGATTTTTTTTATATACACACTGTGGTTGGGAATCATTGTTGTAGTGGAGACTAGAAACCACAAGAGTCCTCATCTGAAGGCACGATGTTCTATGATTTGGATCACACTATGTGACCTGAGCACTAGTGGCCATGTAATGAACTGCATTGTGAATTTGGTAGATACGAAGTCACTACTCATAAGTGAGAGGAAGTTAATGAAAGACACATCTAGCAATTAGTAAAAGATTAAAGAACAAAACAGATCAAAATGAAATCCCAGCTCTGTCTCTGTCTGGACACAGTGTATAAATAAAGTACCTTTTTATAGCTGTCCGTCAGCATGTTCCCAACACTGTGCACCAGAAAGGAGAAGTCGGGCCTCTTCTCAAACTTCTCATCCCAACACTTCCTCATGATATCATAGCTGCAACACGGACAAAGTCAAGTTAAAAAGTTGTTTTTTTTAAATGTTTTTTTTTTAATATACAAAAAGCAAACATGATGACAGGGTTACAGCAGACTCACACTTCATCAGAGGCGTGGGCAGGTTTGGCCATTCGGTACCCTCTCTTCAGAGCACTGTAGAACAACTCATTCATGGGTAAATCAGGGTACGGTGTTCCTCCTGCCACGAGAAATCCATGAAAAGTTATGATTGCAGCCAAAAATGTACGACAAACATGGAATTAACACTAACGGAATTAATTTTATACTGAAGCACCAGTGGTGTATGATGTATTTTTTGGAGGCCAATCAAAGGTTTCTTTTTGCACTGGAGGTAAAGTGACCCAGTAGATGGCAGTATCATACCTGGAAAAAAACCAGCAAGCTGACATTTATGACCAAAGGAGTGACAGAAGAGTGTCACTGTTGTAGATGATTTATTTTTGACCTGACGTCACAGCCACACAGATCCACAGTGGCCTAATGTTTTAGCAAAAGAAACTGGGATGCCTCGAAATATTCATATAAAATATAGTTATATATATATATATATATATAATTTTTTTAGCCTATCATTTACTGCAGTGGGCTATAATACCATGATCTTCACGACTCCATTCAAAGGCCATCAGAACACACAGACGCTGTCATGTACGCATTTCTTCCCCTAGCATAGCCTAAGTTAATTAATTACCAAATGCATGAACTCGTCAGTAAACGCCAGTAAACGAGCACGGCCCTAGTACAAATCCACAGTTCTCCCTGTACCAGGTATTGTACTGTGGGTAGTACTGTATGTGTCTGAGAACTGACCCAGGGTGAAGATCTCCCACAGAAGAATGCCGTAGGACCACACATCACTCAGGGTGGTGTAGAGGTTATGGAAAATACTCTCTGGTGCCATCCACTTCAGGGGCAGGAAGGTCTGAATGTGGGGAGGGAGGAGGGGGAGAGAGGGGGAGGTAAAAAAGGAAAAAAGTTGTTCTAAAAACACTGCAGAGTCAGCAGGGATAGAAGTTCATTCATAAACTGTTTTATGGAGCACACGCTCGGAGCAGTGTGTGTTATTTACCGCTGATCTGATCTGTGTACGACGGTGCAGACATTTAGGTCACACACACACATTCACTATCAGTCACACCGTTGGCTACGGAGGCAACAAACAAACAAAACTACAGGACAAAGCCTGGAGGGTGGGGAGGGAGCAGAGGGGAGGTGAAAGGGTGTGGGACGTACTGTGTTTGTGTGTGTGTTTATACCTGTTGTTATACACTCATGGAGACCTAACGGTAACTGAGATCAACAGAAGGGAAATAACGATCTTTAAGTCAAATCTAGGGGGTTATTTGTCACCGTTGTCATTCTAGTTATGGTTAGTTAGAGTTTAGATAATATCAGTTACTGACAATATATGAGGCATGTCCAAAGACTGGCCTGGGGCCAGACCAGGCACATGAAGGGGTCGTAACATGGCCCATGAGTTTTTCTACAAATTGATTTTTATGGAAATATTTTTTGCCCCCAGTCAGTCATGTTGTTTCATGGCTTGTTTATTTTGTAACTACAGCACTGTGGCTACCTGCTAACTTTTAGCTGCTCTGGGCTAAGTTAAAATAGTGAGTTGTAGCTAGCTAAGCTAGTTGTATTGTAATGTGTGGGCTTAATTGACCATTGATGGTTATAATAATTGTGCTAATAAAGTGTTTTGGCAGGATTTTTTTTTAACTCCAGTGCATTTTATGACCCTGTCGGGTTAAATAATTTTCTTTTTTTATTATTAAACAAACATGGTCTCTGTGACTTACGCTGCCTTTGGAGATGTAGTTGGAGTCATGCATGATGTCTCTGGCCAGGCCGAAGTCACAGATCTTTACAAGTTTGCCCTCACAGATTAAGACATTTCTGGCAGCGAGGTCACGGTGCACGCACTGCCATGACATGAATAAAATACATAGATTAATGTGGTCAAGAAATGCAAGGAATGCAGTAGAACTGTGTGTTTACATTGATCCTACATTCTTGGATGCCAGAAACTCCATCCCTTTAGCGACTTGGTAGCTGAAGCCCAGAAGATCATCAAAGGTTAAAATAGGAGAATCACCGAGAACCAGGTCAAACCTGTTGCCACCTGGAAAACAACGAGACTCTTATTTAGACAACCAATCTATAAATTATTGTTTTGTTACCATGGACACACGTGAGGCTAAAATCCAACCTTGTTCCTGGTAAATGTCCTGCTGGTAGGACGACTCGTACGGGGAAGGTTGGATGTCTGCGTACTTGATGGTGTCAATCTGCTCCTGCATGGGCACATAGACTGAGGGCTCATCCTTAGTCATGTCCATGTATCCACCATCGCTCTCACTGCCTGATGACACGTAGCTGTAGGGGTGAGGCCGGGGGGAGGGAGAGAGGAAGGCACAACATCCAAGAGATTTAGGATCATTTTCATTCTCAGTCAGACTTCTGTCAATCTGTCATGTGATCAACTCTCCTAAGGCACAGACAGTCGTTTCAGTAGGGAACCCTCCCGTCCTCCCTTGCTCCCCCCTCCCTCCCTCATGCCCATCCAAACCAAAACTCTTTACAGAATGACTCTTTGTGCAGCGCTGAATACAAATGTTTGTGCAGCTTGTTTTTCTCACCCTTTCCGCTGGCTGACAGGAGTGCTTCCTCCTGAGATGAAGCAGCTGTCATCGTGGTTCTTCTCGGCGTAATATTGCAGAAAGGTGTGCTTGTTTCTGTGCAGGTAGTCCACCAGGTCACCGTAGCGACAGTACTCAGTCACCAGGTACAGAGGGCCTGGTGGGTGAAGGACGAACGCGTCATATTTGGGGATTTAAACCAAAATGGATTCAATTTAATGAAATATTGTAGCTACGCTGAACAAACAGACATAACAAACAGAGCAGAGAATAATTGATGGGGGATAAAAATATGTGAGTGTGCAGTTGAAACACCCCCCCAGCATGCCCCCCCACCAACTTTTACAAAACCTGATTGGTCAAGGTGCAGGTATGCCATGTTACACATGCTATTTCATTAGATTGTGTAATAAATAAAGACCAGTTGGTTAAAACAGGCTGTAGGTCAATTTTAAGATAAAAAGCTAAAGGTTAGCCTAAAAAGAGCAAAATTGCTAAAAGCTGCACAGAATTACTTAAAAAGAATCCAAAGACCAACAAAAGGTATGCCAGTGACAGATAATGGTTAGCTAACAATTGCTAAACAATTGTCAAAGGTTGCTGAAAATGGAGTAAGCTGATTGGACACTCTAAAGGGACCACTGTGAGGTCCATTGTTCGTCCTTGGACTGCTGATGCTAACCATGTTTAGTACAGGCTCCGAGCAAGTTGACGATGTTGAGGTGAGGTCCGAGGTGACTCATGATCTTCAGCTCTGACATCAGGGCCTGGGTCTCGCTCCTCCTGGCTGTGGCTGCAGATGCAACATTCAAACAGAGTAGATTATAATGAGTGAGACGTGAAGAGAAAGTAAAATGACGAGACGAAAAAGAAACTGCGTGAATTTGGCAAAGGAGTGCGGACGGTCAGCTGGCTGAAAAGACCACGGATCTAAAGCTCAACAGGCCGCCGCTCACAGGTGGATGAATGTGGCATGGGAGTATTTGACAGATATATACAAAGACTTGTACAGACACACATGAGCCAGAGGACTTACACTTCAGCATTTTCACTGCCACCTTTGTACTGGACTGCAAATGAGTGAGACCGTACGCTGTTGCCTCGACCACCCTGCCAAAGGCTCCTGATCCAAGAGTGCGACCTGAGAGACAAAGAGAGACTCAGTGGGACATGGTCTGAATAGGTCACATTAGACCTTGTAAACAGGGACATCTCTGTTCATTAGGATGAGGATATTTGTCCCAGATAAGGTAGACAAAACCTGGCAGAACTGGATCTGGAGACTTTTCAACAGGCTTTTAAAACGATGATGAATAAGGCCTTAAAATATTTATTCGAAGGCCAAGGAGATAAATGAGGAGCATGTATTCATCGGTCCAACCTCAACTATGTCCATATGACCACACTCTTCTCTAAGGTCACCTTGTTGAGTCTGTTTTTAAGCTGAACAAAGAAAAGAACCTTTTAGCCTCAAACGTACAGTATGGTTTCAGTCTCAGCCAACAATAGAGACTTGTGTCCTTCATGAAAAAACTACCACTCGAGAATCACAAGAACTTGGAAAATATTGTAGTAAATCATGATTTACAGAAGAGGGCTTTGACATGTTGGTCTGGGACCTCTAGAGGATTGGGGAGGTACTGCAGGGTGTGAGCGGACCCGGGTCATGACTTATTTTGTTGGATTTTTACTCTAGAATTTTATATATTCTTTGTTGATTGATTGTTATATATTCTGAGTTATATATATTTAAAACATTTTAAATAATTGAAAATGAAAGTTATTAGCCTCACCATCATCCAACTGCTGCAATAGCTCAATGCCCATAAAGGGGACCCGCCCTTTACTTTGGGAACCTCAGAAATAAGGACTCACCCAGCACCAGGTTATCACGGGGCATCTCCCAGGCCAGGTCATAAGGCAGATGGATGGGATCCACGTAGATGTACTCATGACCGTCCTGACTCACAGACTCAATCACCTTCCATCTGATCTCGTAGCGTGGTTTCTGAACAAAAGTAAAAAAAAAAAAAAAAATTCAAAAATCATGTTTCCAATTTTTACTTTTGGATTTGATGTAGTTCAAATTTGAGATTTGTCAGTTTAATCTCACCTTCCTCCAGACAGCAATCAGGATGATAAAGAACAAGATGACGATCACGACCAAGGCCAGAACAGCAGCCAACACTGCCACCTGGGAGAAAAGAGCTGCAACAGGCAGAAGCTCAGGATTAGAGTCAACATGAGTCACAGCTGCACCTGAAGAAAAGTCCAGAATTTAAATAGGATGACAGGTGGTCAGAATAAAAAAAATGTACTGCAGTCAGTGCCTGACAAGAGGCTATATTTAAAATTAATTCCAAATTTAAGCTTTCAAAAGATCCATTAATCATTTTAGTGAAGGTGAAATAATTTGACCATAAAAAGACAAAAAGATTCAAACTCCCTAGTCAGTAACTAAGAAGTCGGGTAAAGGTCACTCTAGAGTTCACGTGTCAAATTGAGCTCTAAAATATGTAGTTGTAGTTGTTGTTGTTAGTGACTATTTCCTGTTATGGTCATAAAAGAAGAAGTGAGCACTAAAAATGTCCTCATCTTAAAATATTGCAGTGTTTATTTATTGGTTCTTATGTTGTTAAAAATAAACTATATATATATATATTATAATTTTAAAATGACTAAACATGAGAAAATCTTAAATTCATTAGAATTGTATGTTATTCTAGAAGATATTTGCCCTGTGTTTGTTAATGACACCTACTGTTGGACACCAGCTTAATGTCCCGCCTGTCCACATGTCCTGCCTGGTTGGTGGTCTCGCAGCGAACCGTGACCTGCTGGGGTTTGTTGAAGGTCACCTGGCTGCGGATCTGACTGGTTTTCCTTGTGTTGTTGTAGCTGACGTTGGTCTGGATGGTCAGCTCGTCCGGCTGTGGGACGAGTGACTTCCACACCGCCGTCCGGTTGTTACACCTGCAGCAAGACAATGAGACTGAATCACTGAAGCTGCTGCTACGTTGATGGGTGAAGTCAAGGCAGATGCACACGAGTGGAAAAGAAAACAAATTTGTGTGTGTGGTCAGCCCCCTAGTGTCCACTTACTGTATGTGGTGATGGGTGAGACTTACTTGAGCATGCTGTCACAGCTGAACCACTGTATGGTGGGGACCGGGGCTCCCTCTGCTACACAGGTCACCAAGTGTCTGTCCCCTGGGAGGTGGTGGTCAGTCAGGTCTTTGATCTGTGAGGGAACTGCAGACAGGGGGCGCAACAGTCATGAATCATTAAAGGCACTGATCAAAAACAAAGTAGAGCGGCCTGTTTGGATGAGAGGTAATAAGAGCCTAGAGGAAGAAGAAGTGCAAAACATAACTCACCTCTGACCTTCAGGTCAAAGGTCACTTCCTTGGAATCATCTTCATTGGTGATGAAGACAGTGTAACGACCCATCTGCTCTGTCCTCACCCTCACTAAGGTCAGAATAGTAACATACCTGTAGACAAAGAAGACGATCAAGGCATGATGACACATTTGTAGACGAAAAAAATTGCTTAATTTAAAACATAATATTTATATTTTTATATTTTTTGACCAATAAATTCAATGTATTTTTTTCCTTTTTCATTCTTTTTCAATTTTTTAAACTTTTTTTAAACTTTTTTTCAACATAGATTTCTACATTGAAGCCTTCATAATATTTTTAAAAATATAAATTTTCACTGCAGTTAAAGGCTGGTTTGAAAGCCTTGTTGACCTCTAAAGTCCTAAATTTTACATTAATTAAAATAAAATTTCAACTTTTTTTTTTCTTTATCATCAAATAAAAATGAAAGCCTTGTTGACCTCTAAAGTTCTAAACTTTTTTTTTCTTTATCATCAAATAAAAATCTCTTTCATAAACCAAAGTATAAATAAAGTATCCGAACCTTCCCATGTTGTGCATGCACTGGTGCGTTGTTGCCACAGATTTAGTTTGTTTTGATTTTCGTAATCACAATAATTTGCGGTGGAGTACTGCGCTCATGAGCCGTGTGTATTTGTGGCTGATCTCCTGCTGATGTCTCCCTGTCTCTGACAGATGTTGTCAAAACTGTTCAGCGTTTACCAGAATGTTTTGTTTTGTTTCCTTAAAGACGTCGCTGAGTTGTGACTGGACTTGGTTTTCTGTGTTTACAGTTCCTGTCTAATGAATGATGGACTCCTGCCCACACACAGTATCAGTTTCTATGGTGGTGGTTGCCTTATCTGCTGATGACTGACACAAGCTACGTGCCTCAGGAGGCCGCCGCCGTCGTCCTCGCAGAGCACCACCGCTAATTGTTTAACTATAGCCATGCAGACGAGGTGTCTCGTTGCCTCGGGGCAACGTTAAGGTCAAAGGACAGCTGAAAGGGACGGGTCCGGTGCCTGACCTGATCTCCTGCTCTTGTCTGAATGTGATGGTTTTATCTCCTTTGATGGGGGCACCATCTTTTCTCCAGTACACCAGAGGGGGAGGGTAGGCTGTGATTTCCACCCTCAGCTCCACGTTCTCTTGCAAATTGGCTGAAATGTCTTGTTGCTGTGCAGGTTTTGCATCGACGAAACCTCGCTCTGATGAAAAAGGCATATATAATGACAATAGGAGTTACATTAAGCTTTTTAAAAAAAAAGCACTTTTCTGTGTGTTGTTTTATGAGAGTCAGTGTTTTCCACTCAGACATATCCAGACTAATCTTTACCCTGTGTACATTTTCACATAGCATGTCCGTTCAAGCCATTCAAGGATTTCATAAACATAACACACCTGACTGCAGACAGAATAAGCATTCACAGAGCCAAACATAGTCAGTGAAGGAGAGGAGACGAAAAGCATGAAATACTTAGAATGACTAATGTTGTTTTTATTATTATTTCCACTCACTGACTTTTTTAAAATGAAGCTGTTGAGATGTATATTTACATTAACGTATGCTCTCGGTAAAAATAAAATTGGGCTTTTTAAATGTCTTATTTTCAAATGTCCCACCACCACAAAGGTTCTGAAAGTACCATTTACAGAATCAGCACCGTGTCAAGGTTTATTTTACTCTCTGAGCTGGAATAAATAGAAATGAACTCCATTTCCTTTAAAGAAGGAACTCCCTAACCTTCATCTACACAGGTTCAGATAATAAAAAGTCTCTCTCTGTCACTGGAACACAATAATCTGCCCAGCATCCATTTGTTTTACTTCTTTGTGTGTGTGTGTGTGTGACCAACCGAGAACGGTGATGTTGATGCTGGCAGAAGCAGACAGACCCTTGACGTTCTCGTCCACTCGGCAGACGTACTTTCCACTGTGGGCCACTGTGGCGCGAGGGAAGATCAAATAGGAACGCATGCTGGTAGCGGACAGCATGTCTGTCTCTGGCTCCACCTTAGTAAGACGAGAGAGTAAAAAAATACAAGTCTCAACAAGTGGACTGTAGTGTAGATCTCTCTTGAAATGCATGGAAGTGTTTTCTAAGCAGTGGTGACCACATGAGGGATTGGGGGTCATG